AAAACGTATATTTTCAGCTACAATACTTCATTAGGAAAAAAAATTGAAAGAAAAATCTTTTTTAACAGGTAGAATTTTTTTTACCGTGAAAGTTTACTGAAAAATCTCGTGCATATGAAAATGTTACTGCAGATGCGTAAAGCATGAATAATACTGTATAAATATTTTCAACAGCTTGAAGAAATGGCATCCCATTCTGCAGAGAAGAACGCGAGAAACGCATTAATTATAAAACATTTTCGTTTTTTTTTTTCGCTGGCTGAATTATTCCTCGAACCATGAATAATATTCAACGCAATTTCTTTAAAGTCGTTCGCCCTTGAAAACTGTTGAAAATGTCTCTCGAGATGCATAAAATACGAATACAGTGAACAATTTATTTTTAGCTACCTCTTGTCTAGCAAAAACAATTCGCATCCTGTTCCGCCGAGAAGAACACGGAAAAAATTGATGAAAAATCTTTTTTTTTCGTTGTGACAACATTTTTTAAAAACCCGAAAATGGCACATTCATGTGTGAGCGTTTTCTATAAGATCTCCTGCGTTACCTACAAAATGTAACTGCAGATGGATGACACACGAATGTATATTTTTAGCAAATTTTTGTTCCCTTGCAAACAAATTCTCATCCAATTCTGCCGAGAAAAGAAAATTGGGAAGATACATTTTCTGGAACACCTATTATTTTTCTCTGGCAAAAATTGTTTAGGAAAAATCAAATTCTTTGCCTGAAAAATGTCTTCGTAGATGGTTCAACACAAAATATGTATTTTTTTAAAACGTATTCCTTCCTGAACAAAAAAGGCAAAAAAAATTAATCCAATTCCGTCGACGAAGTTTCCGCGGTTCACATTCATTCGCTGTCAAAAAATCATTCAGAGCTTCTTGAATTTGAATAACTTCGGTGAACTTCCAAAAAAGAAAATTCTTGTAAGAGATCGTCATTTAATTAATTTTTTTTACGAGGAATGAAAGATGAGCTTTTGGAATTCCGAAGGTCCCCATTGTTGACTTGACCACATCTTCTCGTGGTACATCACTCAAATAACTAGCTGACTTGAATGGACGAAAAAATAAAAAAAAACGAAGAAGAAGGTCGGCGAGGTCGACCTCTGGACGAAATATATTCATGAAACCTTTTGTTTCAATTTCCCCGGAGAAAGAAATCGCGGAAAAAGTCGTGCTTGTGGAACCCGTTCCATTAGATTTTTTTTCCCATGCCTCGGTTTTTGTGTCTAGTCTCTTCACGAAGAAAGTGAGTAAAAAGAAGAACCCCATACTTTCTAAGAACTTGACCGCAAATGGTACTTGTGTGAACTCAATTCTTGCATGTTTCTGCTATAAGCATTTCGTTCAACTTTCTACAACAAGCTGACGACAGCTGGAAGAAGAAAAAAATGAATAAAATAAAGCAGAGGAACAGGTTTTGTTTTATTCGTTTCAGATAAGGTGACTTCCTTTCACAAAGTCGTCGGTTGACTTCTTTTTTTTTCTCTCTGGACAGCACGTGGCAACCAACCACCTGTCGTTGGCTGTCGATTGTAGTAAAACCTTTTACCTTTCTGTTGAACTACTTGACGACAATTCTCCATCCTTTCTGAGCCTAATGTGGGAAAGTTTGTCTGACGTGCGGAAAAATAATTGGATTGGATTGAAGAAGTATCAACGCGTTAATGTCATTCGAGAGATTCTGAGGAAGAGCTTTTGTTGAAAGCCTCGTCAGAATAATGCTTCTTGAGTTTGAAAAAAAAATTCACTTTTCAATAAGTACTGACAGCTTCTTATATGCTTAGGAACATTCCCAGTCCTGCTTGATTTCTACAATCGGAAGAAAAAATAAAAAATCGGGGTTCACAGCATCTATTTTTTTTTTGTTCGAAAGTTTTTATAAAACAAAAATTCGAGGGTACTGATTTTTGTCAAATAAATTTCGTGACGGAAAGACCCACAATTATTGCCAATTTACGCATTTTTCACACAAATAGCATGCATTATGTGCGATTCCGTGACTAAATTCTTCTAAATGGCTTGCTTCTAAAAAAATTGGCTTCGACTCCAAAAAATTTGGTTGCTTTGACCTTAAAAGAAAACAAAAACCTGGGAAATTTTTTCATGGCTGACGAAATACCTTTTCTCTGAACATAATTTTGCAGCACATTTTTTTAGAACTGTATTTGTAAATGTGCGATTTGTATCTTAAATTCGCTCACGTTTTGGCCATGACGAAATTTCCCCTCGTTGTCTTGATCGCTTGAGGGTTATTACACCGCCTGGAGGGTGACGAAGTCATTAAATGATGAAGCTTCTGGCTTTCGATTTTTATTTATTTTTTACCTTTTGTTGTAGAGGGTTGATATTGCTTTGCTTTGTTGCCCTGTCTTGTGCAATTGTTGTGCGTAGAATACCAGGTGCAGTTAATATCTACTCCGGAGTTTCCACAGAGGCTAGGAAAACCCAATGGATTTCATCTCCAGTACCAGGTAAAAATCCGGCTTTGACTCAATGAAATTCAGTATATTTGTCAAAATTATCTATTTTATTCACCCTTTGAAATTTCACAGTCGATTTTGGGAATTCCAGTGAATTGATGTTTTCACACGCATGATTATTCTGGAATTGAGTCAAGGGAGAAAAGCCGGATTGTGATATTGAAAATAGGTTTATTCAATTAATTTTGACTGATTCGCTAAAATTTGTAGCTGCAACTTTGATCCTCAACTCTCAAAATTTTGTCGTTTTTGGAATACAATGATTTTTAAATCTTGGTTAATATTCAACAGCATCGGTTGTGTGTTTTTAATGGCCGAGAATCATTGTCTAAAGCCTGAAAATTTATGAAAATTGGTAGTCATTATTTTTTCTTAAAATAATGCCCAGAACATAATGAAACATTATGAGCCATCATAGCATAATGAATGAATGTACCGGAGGAACACCAAATGAAATGGAACTTGCGGCGACTCTTTTGTGAAACGTAACATATTTTTGGACATTTAAACTCACTCTGAAAGCGATTCGTCATTGTGATAGTTTGAGTATTTAAATTCAACAAGGGGATCACAAATGGTTTGCTACTCAGAACAATTTACGAATCCTTAAACTGAGCTCAATTTTGAAAGCCAGTGACACCTACCCAAACAAAATTCATGCGCTTATTGCAACGGACAGTTTACTATTGATAGCTGAAAACTTTTCGCAGTATTTTTTTCACGCCCTGAATGAAATCGTGATAGAATATTTTTAAAGATCGACACAACAAAGAGGACAATATACTGTACAGTAATTTAACGCACGAATGCGTCTGTTTTCTGTTGTTTTGACCGTAGAAAATCCTGCCCTATTATGACTTGGTGAATTTCGGTGTCATCGTCATTTATCGCACTTGTCAACACTTGTGTTTTTCACGGTCTCTGATCTTCAAGGGCAAGACATTTCATGTCTGAGAAAACTTCATCCTGCTTTCGTTTACTATACTAAATTTTCTTGAGCGAAAATTCTGCCGATTAAATAATGGTAAATTTTATACACAGAAAGCGCCGCAGAATTATCTAATTGAATACGGTACAGTACTGTAATTCGATAACTGGAAGTTTTGCTGAAAAGCGTTGATATTCCGCGAATGATCTTGAGGTGATAGGTGCCTCGTGATTTTTTTTTTGCGACTTTGAAATGGTCTGATTAAACTTTTACTAAAGCGGGAGAAATCAGTTGATTGTCTTTCCGGTTCAGATATTTTCCGAGTGGTTGGGCGTGTTGTGAAAAGCAGTGAAGCGTTGACGAGAGAAAAACACTGCACCCTATTCGCTTTGTGATTATTGTTTTACGGCCCAATTCGTGTTTGACAAGGAAGAAAGACTTGAAAAAATTAATAAAGTGTTCAGATCGAAATTTCAGGAAGAACTTTTCAATCTATTTGCTTTTTTCACGTCTTGGGGGGTGAAATGCTAGCGAAAATCAAAATTGAATCTAGGTAAACTTTCTAGAATACTTTTTCAAAGCAGAGAAAAGAAGTATTGCAAAATTGTACCTGAAATGAATCAATTCTAGTGTTTTTCCTCAAATTTTAAGGTTATAGACAATTTTTATCTCTTGGTAATGAGTTGGAAACTTATGACTGGTGGTGACATCTGCGTCTAAGGAAAAAATCAAAATTACAATAGCACAAGAACCTTTCTCGAATGAGCTTGTACTTTGTCAGTCCACATTGGCTAATTTGAACATCCAGTGCGATCATGTAGTCCATGCTGTAGAAATGTACATTGCCTTTTGACTGGATTTCAGTCAACCCCTAAAACAGCAGCGACATCTACCCACGCTGGAATAAATGGCATTTTGATGGACAGCTGGGAAAAATATTCTGCGGTGTAAAAATACTCCATAATGCTCAGTGATATGCTGGAGCCCTATTAATCCCGTTAATCTTGAATTTTCTAAATCTTATTGCGCAGTAAAAATTCAGCTTAATCAAATTATTTCAAATGAATTTGTAGCGCATAAAGAAGAGCGTTTTTTTAACCCTAGGAAAAGTTTGGTTTTGGCTTCCGATTTTTGCTCGTGATTCATAAAGTTCTTAATGTGCAAAAATTGGATGGGAATCGCATTTAAAACGTTTGGATGATGTTTAGCATCGTACTTAATCAGCAGACATTTAGGTTTTCCATATTTGGGAAATCATTTTGAGGCTTTTCGTTTTTTTAAAGAATGGTTCTAAATTATAAATTTGAAATAGCTTTCGTTGATAAATCCTTAAAAAAATAAGGAGATGATCAAGCAAAATTGTTGATGCCTCATTGCGAGCGTGACATTCTATTCCATTTTGAAGAACTTTTAGGGAATTCGAAAAATTCACGGAGACGTTTTGTGATGTCGACGTCGTTTTGCTGTTGATTATCTTCTGCGTACACCCACGCAGAAAAGATTATCCATAGCTTTTATCTTACTTTCGGAATGTCGACGGAGACATTTTTGATGAAATGAGCCATTTGATGGGTGTTTCAAGTCACGTTCTCGTCTGCCATTTTTCATCCATTTCACGAAGGCGTCTTTTTTTTAAACCGTGCCGCTCGATGGATTTGGAATAGTATTAATGATAAGCACCGAGTAACGGTTTCCGCAGGAATTTTTAATCATTTTCGAGGAATTTTAATTACGTTTACGAGAAAATAGAGCAATGAAAGTGACGCGGTGCGACGCAGTTATTTTCATATCGTTTTTCTTGAAGCGGGGAATGATGTAAATCACTTTCCGTTCATGTTGGCTGAGTTCGAAAGGAAAGTGTCTTATCATAATTCCTTTTTTGCTCTTGAAAAATTAATCTGATCAACTCGTATTCAGTGACATTTTTTTTCAAACCTCTGATTTTTCGAAATTTCTCACTGGAGGATGTAATTTAATAAACTCTGAAGTAGGAAAATGTATGTGGCGGAAAATGGCTGAAAATCCCGGTGATCGAAAAGATGTCCCGAGAGGGTTTTGGAATCAATCATTTCACTATTGGCTTCAGCGCTTCAAAGGTAAAAAAAGAATGATTATAATTCGAAATATTTTTGAAATTTCGTTACAGTTTCTCCGTTCTTCAAATTTTTTTTTGGCAATCAAGCATTTTGTTCCGAATTTGATGCGCTACGCTGGTTCGTAACATCAATGAACGCATATAATTTTAAACGTTAAAAGATAAGACTGGAATCCAGTTTATCTCTACTGTTGACAGCTGGAAAATCGAAAGTGGGACGCTTGAGACTATGAGAATAATATTTTATGAATTTTCTGTTTCGGTATGCCCCTTCGCATTTTTCCCCCACTAATCTGAGGATGATTCAAACGAAGTTGAATGAACATTTTCTGAAACATATCTTGGTGAATCTGCTTCACGCTTGCTATATTTCGAAGAAGGAATTTTTCCATCGATAGCGAAAAATGTTGCGAGAAATCTTATAGTGTTTCATTGCCCTTGAATGGAAACGGCTATTGTCGAGTGTGGAAAGAAGATAAGACTATTATCCATCATGTTTATCTGTTCTGTCTGGAGCTCTATGATTGAAAGTGGGACACTTTAACAGACTAACTTGATACATTTAACAATTTTTAATTTTTCGCCTGGTGACTTAGTATTAAAAAAATTATTGTCAGTTAAATAAGCAGCATTTTTATTGCGGGAAATAGAGAAAAATTACGAGAAATTATAATTGGTGATATTCTGGGACTTGAATGAGTTGACGGGATGCTGAAATTGGAGGCAAGGGGTTATTTGCCCAATTATTATTTTTAAATCCCTTAAAAAAATATCGAGTAGAATTTTTATTGCTTCCTTCTTTCCTTTGTTATTTCTGAGTTATGGAGGTCTGAGGTGGAGAGCATCTGAGTTGAGATGTTTTTGATGCATTGTTTCTATAAGACGAGGACTTCGAAGAAAAATTTGACTTGTGGAGGTTCGAGTGTCTTCGTTATTTGTTAATAAATTTAATATAAGTTTTCGGTCGTGTTGCCGATTTTCAGAAAAGGGCGGCAGTTCGCAAGAGCAGCCCAGAAGGCGGTCGACGGACAGTTCGAATTCCCCGGCGCCGACGAGACGGTCCAGCAGTCGCCAACAGATGCCGCCTCCGCCGGTGACTCCGACATTGACGTCGAAGCAACCCGATTACGGAAGCCTGGACAGGGTTGTTCGTCGCAAGGACAAGACCACAGTCATCTCTGTGAGACCCGTGGCTCATCAGCCGCCTCAACAACAGCCGTCTTTCGACTTTTGCTCTAGTCTGGATCGTCGGAAGCGGTCGTTGGAGCAGTTTGGAGAGCCGTTGAAAGCCAGTTCTCCGATCCAAAGGCGTCCCACCACTGCCGGCAGTTCGTCCAGCAAATCAAGGTCAGATTCAGATGCTGCTTATTCAGTAGTCTGAAGACCCAGTCCAAATTTTCAGCAAGGAAGGATAAAGAGGAGGTTTAAAAGTTATGTCAGGTTCAAAATAGCGGATACTTATTTTTTTCGGATTATTTGACAGAGTTTCAAACCATTTTTGAATGAGTAGCAGCTCAGAATCTGATCAATATCGTCATTTCGTTGTATTGTAGAATTTTTTGAATCAATTGTCTCCGAATAAACTCTTAGTTCATTCAAGTCTGCTGGCAGACTCAGTCCACATTTTTTTCTTCGTTTTGATGAAAGGATATGATCTGGTACAAAAGTTATTTTAGGTTTTGAAATGGCAGATTATTTTTATTTTGGAGTATTTGACCGACTTTCGAACCATTCCCGAATGAGAATAGCCGATAGCAGTAGCTCAGAATCTGATCAATATCGTCATTTCGATGTACATTAATACTGTATGGGATTTTTGAAGCCAATTATCCCAGAAAAAACTCTGTTCTGATCATTTTCAGATCAATCGTATCATTTTTTACGTTGCGATTAACAACCCTTCGGGACCAAACGCAAAATTTTTTTTTTTAGATAATCTGCATAACATTATTCAATTGTGATTTTGTGGGACATGATAAGGTTACTTAATTTTCAATCGAGCATATTAATTTTTCTTACCTCACCTCCAGAATAAATAATGTGCAATTCGACTGTATTTCCTTATTCCGCGCGTGTTTGCGATTATGATTTGAATAATTTAAAAGTACTTAAGTCGTACTTGTTCATGATTTCCAGGTTGAACGAAAGCAGTGATGCGGGGATTGATCCCAGGAAGATTCAACAAGACGGGGATGAATACAAGATCGTTTTCATCTCCTCGGATTCCAGTCGAGATTCGGAATTCAACACGTCGGTGGATGAAGAAAATGCCAAAAGTCAACACAGTCATAGTCTGAATTCGATCGGAGGGGCCGTGCAACCTCTCAAATAGCTTCTGCTTGGGCCAACCCTCTGCTACCTTTCTGGGGTCTTGGGCTACTAGCTTCCGCCCTCCTCAGCCCAAGTCGTCGGAATGTCCAAGCTTTCTTGGGCTAACGACAAGAGTATATTTTGTAATTTTATTCTGATGAAAATAGTTACGTGGCACTGTAGCTTTAATTGACGACTTCTCATTTGATCTTCTCAACAACTACGTGATCTCATGATATTTCGACGGAAACATTCAATTTATAATTTTACAGTCGAACCTCTTTTAGTCAAACTTCAAGGGACCAGTAGAAACATTTGAGTTGGGGGAAAAACAAGCATTTTTTGTGAAAAAAAAAAATAATTACAGGAAATTGTAATTGATGATATTCTGGGCCTGAAATTGCTTCTCGAACGAGTTGACAGGATGCCGAACTTGGAGGCAAGGATTAATTTGCCGGATGAGTCTTTCACTTCCTTTCAAAACGCATCAAGTCACATTTTCATTGCTTTTCTCTTTCCTTCATAAATAAAGCAATATCCAAAAGGCCTCCAAATATTCTAGCTTTGAAGATGCGAAGAAATCGGATTTAGGGAGGTTTTTAATGCATTGTTTCTGAGGAAATGCAGACAGGTACTTGAAAAAGTTGACGTGAGGATGAAAGTTGTCTGAGGAAAGTATTTGATTTATGGAGATTTGAGTTACTGAAGTTCAACTGTAGTTTTTTCCACAAAGGTTCCAACTCCGTTGCTTGCTAGATGACTCATGTACCAAGGTATATAATTGTGTCGGTCTGTTTTGCCAAGTTTGGTAAATGTAAAGTTCAGATTATTTTTTAAAACAGCGTAATTTCGGAATTCAGAGATTTGCATTTTCTATAATTCTTCGTGTCCATGTGGTTGCTTCGCTAAAACGGCGGTCTGTACGCCCTCAACGTTATGTCACTGGACCTCAACACGAGTAGTAGACTTTTGTCGGTGTTGTGCTCGTCGAGCTTATTCGTTTTACCAGTTAAGCATCATCATCAGCAATCCGTGCGTCATCAGCATCAGGCCCAGCAGCAAAAAATATGGCGGGATCGTTCCTCGTCCAGCTCTTCCAGTCGACGTCCGAGCGCTGGTAACTTGAATGGCAGCTTGGGTCAGTATAACAATAATGAATAAATACAGTATTTTCTTCTTTTAAAGCTTCAGTACCTATCATAATTTGGCGAGGTTGAGTCCTATTAAGTCAGGTTGGATTGATTGATTTTTCTGGAATTTTTGGTATTTCAATGTCTGATGAATATATATACGCCCATGGCTTCAGAATTTTCTTTGCTGTCATGTAGATGTCGCCTGAATTTAATAATGAATTTACATATTTTTTGTTATTTTCGCTTCTGTATCTGATCATAACTTGGCTAAGTTGAGTCCTGTCACGTCATGTTGGATTCATTGATTTCTTCTGGGGTTTTTAAATATTTCAATTGGTTGATGACCATACGTCCATGGCTTTTTAATGTTTTTTGCTGTTACGTAGATGTCGCCTGAATTCAATCATAAATTTGTAGACTGAGGCTATGGAATGCATGGATAATTTTTATTTAATTTCTGACTCGCGGAACGTGTAATTTCCTCGGCTGTTGAAGCGGAAAGAAATGAACATTATCCTTGAATTATATTTTCACCAGAATATTGACGATTAATTTTGTGCAAATATGCGCGGATTTCAGGTGGAGATACAACCGACGAAGAGTTGGCCGCACTTTCCCAGCGTCACTTGCGCACTACCGTGGAAAGCCAAGAAATGTCTCTACATTTCAGGGACTCGAGTCTTAACTCTTCCGCAGATTATGCTGTGCCAAGTTCAAAGGTAAACACAGTATTTCGGACTGCGTATTCATGCATTTTTTAAACCTCACGAAGACGCGGTTGTGATTTACTTGGACAATATTTTGGGTTCACGTGCATGTTATTACTGATCATCCCTGACGTTTTGTAAAAAGAAATCCTT